TCTCCTGCTCAGTCACAGCACTCCTAACCCCAGGGGTTCTCTGTCATCTCTCCTGCCTGGGCCACAGAGGCACATGGTCTAGAGCCCCAGACTACCTGCCCATCCTGCTGCCTCAGCATAAGGCTGTAGCCCCCACTGTTCTCAACAGCCTCAGCCCAGCAGTACTTTGCCTCCTGCAGTTTGTCCTGTTTTGTGATTTTGTGATTCCTGTTGTCCCCAGTCAGAAAGGAATGTGATATTAGTGCATAGATCATTTAGCTTCCAAGATCTTTTTTAAAAGAATCCCTTTTTTTTTTTTAAAAAAAAAAAGAAGAGCGACATAAAACATTAACAAAGTGCCCCATATCAATCTCAGGCCAACCTTAGTTTAACTTTGAAGACCCACCACTAGGCCATGGGAGGAAAAGCCGGCGGCTGTGGGGCACCGACTGAGGAGTTCAGCAGCTTTTCTTCTGATTAATTTCAGGCTGGAGATACAGCGCTTCATATTGCTGCTGCCCTAAATCACAAGAAGGTAGTTAAAATCTTATTGGAAGCTGGAGCAGATGGGACCATTGTTAATAATGTAAGTTGAGTGGGAACAGTGATTTCTAAAGCTGTTTCCATCCCTGTCAGAGTGGGGTGTGTTATGACCTGAACTCCTGCAGATTCCAAGGGCAGGCAGCCTAGCCGAGCTGAGCCCTGGAAGCCAAGGAACTCTGCTGAAGCCATAGCTCCTGGGACCCTTGGGGGGGACTTGAGCCCCATGAGTTGACAAGCCCTGGGGCCCATGTCTAGACTCATAGCTGCAGTGAGCACAACCTGACATGGCAAGGAAGCTCAGGATGTCTAAGTAAACTGACAAGTGGATATTACTAAAAGTGAGTCCCAAGCCTTTAAACACATGTACTCCTCAGAAAAATGGCCATCAGAGTCATCCTTCTCAGATGGGATCCTTCTCCCTTCTCCTCCCCTTCTTCGTCCCTCCCTCCCTCTCTCTTTCATCCTACAGCAGGCCATAACTTGTCCAGTTCAGGCACCCATTTGTCCTCGAGACTCACCCGTGATCTCTGCCCTCCTGAAATAGTGCAGGCTCACAGGGGGTGGGGGTGGAACAGTCGTGTGCAGTGTCTGGAGAGCCAGCGGGTGCTGAAGCTGGTGAAAGGCTCACACCGTCTCACCACGCCCATCCGTTCTAGAACCAGTCAGCAGGGATGTCATGGAGTTTGGGGTGGCACAGTCACCTCATCCATGATGCCTTGCACACTTCCTTTGAATCTCACTGTTGTCAACCCTTGGAGCCCTGGTGGAGCAGTGGTTAAGAGCTATGGCTCCTAACCAAAAGGTCGGCAGTTTGAATCTACCAGCTGCTCCTTGGAAACCCTATGAGGTAGTTCTACTCTGTCCTATAGGGTCGCTATGAATCGTAATCGACTCGATGGTAACAGATTTGGTTTGGTTTTGGTTATCAACCTTTAGTTTTTGGTTTAATCTCCCTAGAACCTAGATTTTGACAATGGCTTCCTAATTGCTTTTCACAGTCCAGTTCATAAGACTCTGTGGCCAGCCCCTCCCCACCTGCCCTTTCAGTCATCTTCCCCATTGCCCTTCAGGGTAAATTGATCAACTGATTTCATGATCCTTTGTGTTGTTCCCTTGACTGAAATGTTCCACTTTAGTTCCATCTAATTTTTACCTTCCTCGTCTCTTTCTTAGGAAGCATTCCTTGCCCATCCCAGACCTCTGCCTTTCAGAGCATTTACTGCTCACTGAGTCAGCACTTACCCTCTGGTGCTCTGCGTTGTTAATTAACACTTACTTCCTCAGGCTTCTTGGGCTTCCCCATTGGATGGTTTGAGGCCTGAGACGAGGGCCACATCATATCTGTGGTTGTATTTTGCTGAGGGCAGGAGAGGCTGGGTTGCCAGCTCCGGGTGAGGGCTGGCCCCCAGCTATGTGTGTGCAGAGTTGGTGCCCCCTTACTCACTTGTCCTCTGTGTGCCTTCCCTTAGGCAGGCCAGACTCCGCTGGAGGCAGCCCGCTACCACAATAATCCAGAAGTTGCTCTTCTCCTCACTAAAGCTCCCCAGGTAGGATGTATTGCACTTTCCACTTTATTAGTTACGTTGGACTACAAAGTCACTGGGACTCCCCTGGTTGCAATCTACGTAAGCCAGTTTAAACCAGCCTAAGTAGGGAGTTGATTGGCTCACTAACTAAACAATGGAAAATGCAGAAACCATGTGGGCCTCTAGCATGACTAGAACCACAGACTTCTATGCTAGCAGGTTGCTCTTCACACATGGGCATCATTTCTCCCTGCGGCTAGATCATTGTTGTCACGAGTAGCTTCCTGGATCATAACTTCTCAGCTACTCAGCCAAGGAGGAAGTTCCAGTTTAAAACATCTCGGGAGAGGACCGTGATTAGCCAGCTTGGGGAAAATGCCCACTCCCGAACAAGTGGGATGGGAGCTTTAAGGAGATGGCAACGTCCATTCGACCAAGTGGTTAGAAGGGGTATTTCCCAGGTAAAGGTGCGAAGGAAAGGACCATTCTAGGCAGGCAAAGCGGTAAATGTCTATCAGAGGCAGTTAAGCACAGTATAGTTTTCTTTCCTTTTTATTGAATAATGATATTTGGACCC